TCGGAGCCAGCTATCCTTACACTTCAGATAAATACACACGCAGCTCCTACTGGCCACAGCCTTCCCACTCCAGCCTGTACCCCATTTGTGCCTCCCCTCTTCTTTCCCTTTAACATCATCTCTTCTCTGTACCGTTGATTTCCTGCTTCAGAGTTTTCAGTGTGGAGTCTGGTGTCAGGATACATGAGTGATCGTTTTCACTGCCAGATCCCAGGTTAGGGAGGTTAACGCTGAGCCACTGACCTCTCATGATGAAGCTCAGTTTGGTTCTGACCATTTTCTCATGCCTTTTTTTCCCCCTAAGTCCATTTACATTTGGAATTATTCAAATAGAAGAGAGCTAAGGTTTTGCATTGCTTGTCTTAAGAGCATTTATGCATTCTGCATGGCTAAACATGCTCTCCAAATGCTCTTATTTCTCATACTTCCTCAATCTGCATCCACTGGATCGAATTTGACTAGGTAAAAATTTGGAATGGCATGTGTATTCATAGTCAGCATTCAAAAAATATCAAGTATAATAAACCTGTTGAGTGGAAAAGATTATGTGTTATGTGTTTGCTGACAAGTATGTAAGGTGACTTAAGTCCCTCATTGTGTAACATTAGCAATTGTGGGATATTTTTGTTAATTTTCAGAAAACTATACTCTTCATTTTATCAAGAGGCTTTTCATTTTTGTTTTCTTCTGCACACACTTTTTTTTTTTTTTTTTTTTTTTTTTTGCCCACATGGGTCAGAATATTTTTACCATCAATATTTATCTCCAGCTTTATTTTGTTGATAGTAAAACCAGGATTCCCTAAATATTAGTTTGTTTTGTAGAAAACACTGCTGAAGTGCACTGGTTAAGTCCTAAAGGGAGAGGGAGGTGAGCAGACGTAAAATAAGATCTGTTCTTTTCTATAGTACTGTCTTTTCCTCTCTAACCAGGAATTGAATAGAACCTCACACGTGGCTAGAGACAGCATTATTTCTTTTCTGCCAACAATTTCCATGTCTATTTCCAAGGCAAATGAATTCATCTTAATTGGTAAACAGATCGATATTCTCAACACAGTCTCCTTGGAGAACATCTGTGTTCTTCCAGGGACACGCCTTGGTCTATCTCTCTGCCCCGTGGTTAAACACAGACCCAGCCAGAAACAGAGATGGGCCAGGATGGCTAATCTTCACAATATCACAATATTTGTGTTGTCATCTTCTGGTGCATTCCTTCAGTATACTAAAGTCTTTTCGCTTTAAAGAAAACTAATTGCTGGTGGTAAGAGAAACCACTTTCTGAAGTATGCTTACACTGGGGTGGGAGAGGCAACCCACATATTTAGTGAGTTATAAGTGCCTATTTCTCTAAGTTTTAGAGTAAGCAAACAGAAACACTCAAATATGTGTTTTAAACTCATATATTTTTCAGGCCAAAACATTTTCCCTGGGAAGTATTTAAATATATTGAAGAGATGGGAGAAACTCCAAGCCCAGGCCATAGCACAGAAAAATAGATAGACGGAGTCTGCTTTGGGGGAGCTCAGAGCCCAAAGGGAGAGCCGGGAACAGTTAGGTAAACAATAATTTTTATGAACTCAGAAATGTGGTGATTAGCAAAGAACTTAATTAGAACTGCATTCTCAAAATACCCTGACTGTAGTGTGAAAAGACATCGGAAAGGAGTTGAACTAGATGACATCTGTAGAGATAGAGGGAATTGGATAGAATTTAGAAACTAATAAATGGTGAAAATGGAAAAATCTTGATAATGTGCTTAGGAAAAGGGAGGATGAGATGGTGGATGGTTCCCAGGTCTCTGACTTGAGTAATGGCTAGGAGAGATGCTATTAATCTGGGTGGTAAATAATGGACAGGGAAGGAGGAACAAGAATTCGGTTAGGGACATACTACATCTTTGATGCCTGCAAAATCTCAAGAGTCTTAAATGTTTTTGCAAAACGAGTCTGGAAGAGAAGTCAAGGCTCAATTAGGACTGTGGGAGTCATTGGCACACTATTTGAAGCCATGGTGATGATGTCACATCGAGGTGAGACTAGGCAGGAGTCCGGGATTAGCTCTGAGATGTGCCAGGCCTTTAAGAGATCTGATGGAGCGTGGAACCGACATTGATCCCAAACAGGCGAGACTAGCCTCAGTTAATGTCCAAGAAAGAAAACAGTCACATTTTATGATCCCAGACCGCATATCCCTGGCAAGCAGCTGTCAGCCACAACCTTGGTTGGCTCAAAAAAGGCCATTTCTAAGGCTGAAAAATAAGCCCAGTGAATGGAAGTCTTCCTAGTGGAGAGGGAGAAGAGTGCACTGAATTGATCTAAAGATCAAAATGAAAGTGTCCCGTGGAAGAAAGGAAAAGCCTCAGAGATCAGCTTCCATGTCTGGGTTGTGACTCCTTACAGTAAATGGGGACGGTCTTGCTTAGTCTGCAGAATACTGGCTTTTCCTCCCTGGCTTGCAGGAAACTTAAGATGCTGTGCTATAGAGTTCTTGCTTCTCTTTTTGTTTAAAACAAAATGGGATGTTGAGATTTAATGGGAAAAGTAGCTTAATGAGCTACAAAGCTGCAAGTTCGGCCTTAGGAAATTAGCACTAAGGAAATTTGCACCTTCCCTTTTTCCCTCCTTTCCTCCCTCTCTTCCTCCCGCCCTCCCTCCCTCTGGTTTCAGTATTTCCCAACAGAAAGAGTGTTGATCTGGGAAACATGGTTGCCGATTCTAGATGGAATGTTTGTAGGCTATGCCAGTCTCTAAAAGATTGAAAGCAGAAGGGCATTTATGTAAAATAAGTTGCTGACTCCTAAGTTATTTGTTATGTATCTGAAAGTGATTGTATTTCTCCTCCTGTAGGGGCCAGATATATTTGTTAAGGTCTGTATCTGGAGTTATAGCACAAGAGGGTCCTTGTCCAGAATATGGCAATATGAAATGCTAGGATACCATTTCTTTGTGTAGGATTCCATTAGTGTGAACTAACACCCTTGTGAATCATTGAAGACCTTAGGTGAATCATAAGAAGAGATCACTGTTAAACTAAACACAGTTTAGAGCTTGGAAAGCTCCCTGAAGTTGGCTTTTCTGCCAGCTTTTCACTTTTCCTTTAAAAATGTATTTCAGTTCATGTTCTGCACTTCCTATTTCTGTGACCATGTGACAGTTGGGAGGGCACCATTTCTGGTTCCACCAGGATATCCTTTTAGTGGATGTACAGTTTCGTGTGTTTCTGGCTGAGTTCTACTCACTAGGAGCTGTTCGCCAATGACTTGTGTGAGACAGTATACCTGCGGTGAAACCAGATTTCAAATGTAATGTGGAGTCTCTTTGTCCCCTCCTTACATCTGGCATGAAACTTGTGCACTGAGGCAGTTACTGCTCGTATGTGTCCTTCCAGCCTGGGTTTGGCACTTCTGCTAGTTTAGTTTACTTCCTAATGATGCCAGCTTTTGTCCAGACTAGAAATCATGTACATTTTGTGGCAAATGCAGAGAGAACAGATATCCCTGTATCCTATGGTAGAGTGGATACCCAGAGAACCTCAATTCGTAGACAAGCTTTCAGATTGCCTCCAGCATATGGAAGGGGTAAATCATAGTAGAGTAAAACTAATGTTGGCTTACAGAGCATTTTCATGGCTGGGCCCTAAGCTAGAAGCATTCCATTGCATATGTTATTAATCTGTAATTTGTGCAACTCTTCTGTGTGGTTTAACATCTGCCAAACTAAATTAGCATCATTCCAAAAATCAACTCTCGGGATCTGATTTTCCCAAGTATATTGCATGTAGCATGTTTCACTGGCTCATGAAATAAGCTTATTTCCTCAAAACTTAAAGAAAACAGTGGGTCAGGAACAGCAGCTGACAGTGAGCTCTCTCTGGAGTGTAACCTTCCAAAATCTGACATCTGGGGGTGAAGTTCAAAGTGGGTAGGATGGTTGGGAGAGCGATGACCAATGTCTTAGGCACTTAGGCTTTCTGTAACTGGTTTATAAAAGAGGACTCCTTTGAGTTTGCTGGAGTATCGTGGTGTTACTGTTTAACCTGCCTTCATTCAGAGGAGTTCCTCTCACTCTTTCTTTGCTTTTTTGAGACAGGGTTTCTCTTTATAACCACATGGCTATCCTGGGACTCACTCTGTAGACCAGGCTAGCCTTGAACTCACAAAGATCCTCCTGCCTCTCCCTCCCGAGGGCTGGGTTTGAAGGTGTGTGCCAGCACATCCTGGACTCAAATGAGTTTCTTTAAGTTGCGTGGGTTGCAGATGCCTAGCAAATAGGTACAGAGTGTACTTAAAATTTCTACTGTTTTTATACAGTTAAGCTAAATAAAAAGGCATAATGGTTTAGCACCTCATGAGACACAATAGCTAATTTTTGGATTTATTTTTACTTATATGACTGTGTGCATATCTGTGTGAGTGTATGCTATATGTGTGCTGGTACCCAGAAGATAATGTCAGATCCCCATACAGCCAGAGTTACAGGCTGTTGTGAGTCTCCCAGAGTGGGTTCTGGATTCTGAATATATGCTCTCTGCAAGAGCACCAAGTGTTCTTAACCACTGAGCCATCTCTCCAGCCACTTCTATAATGTTGGTTATGAGCCTTTTAACATCGGGCCTTCTCTCCAACCCTGCAGCCCCTTTTAAATCAAAAGTTATTTTCAAGGATGTTATTAATGTTACCTGCTAAAGAAATCACTGGTTACATATCAGAAGGTATAAAGGATTTTAATTATACATCATCCCATGAATTCCACAAATGAGAACCCAATGCTCAGAAATGTACAAAACATTGAATCTTTTTTTTATTTTTATGTTTTTTTTTTATATTTTTTTCTCCTGGACAGAAACTTTTATCAATAAACAGGAGACAAACTATAAATAGGGATGGGATGAGGGAAAGTACTCCCTAATACTGAGGCATTTGTTTTGTTGTTTTGTTTTACTTTTATTTACTGATCTTTTGTTTTTTCTGCCCCCCCCCCCCTTCACTTTACTTTATAGTGGCCACAGATGTCTTTAATTCAAAAAACCTGGCCGTTCAGGCACAAAAGAAGATCCTGGGTAAAATGGTATCCAAATCCATCGCCACCACCCTGATCGATGACACCAGCAGCGAGGTCCTGGATGAGCTCTACAGGGTGACCAAGGAGTACACCCAGAACAAGAAGGAGGCAGAGAGGGTCATCAAGAACCTCATCAAGACCGTCATCAAGCTGGCGGTTCTCCACAGGAACAATCAGTTCAATCAAGACGAGCTGGCGCTGATGGAGAAGTTCAAGAAGAAGGTTCACCAGCTTGCCATGACGGTGGTCAGCTTCCACCAGGTGGAGTACACCTTCGACCGCAACGTGCTGTCCAGGCTGCTGAACGAGTGCCGAGAGCTGCTGCACGACATCATCCAGCGCCACCTCACCGCCAAGTCTCACGGACGGGTTAACAACGTCTTTGATCATTTTTCAGATTGTGATTTTCTGGCTGCCTTGTATAATCCCTTTGGAAAATTTAAACCTCACTTACAGAAACTTTGCGACGGGATCAACAAAATGCTGGATGAAGAGAACATATGAGCTCGTGAGAGAGATAAGCGATCTTCTCGAAGACAAAGCACCGCTGGCTCAGGAAGGGAAGATGGAGAATCTTTTAAAGATCACATGTATCGCAGAAAGGCTCGGCCTCATACAGCCATTGGACATTAATGGTAGTACTTTTGTGTGGCTTGTTGTAGATGAAAAAAAAAAAGCATATTGCCAAAAATTCTGGCTGAAAATGTCTTAATGAATGTCAGGATGTGGGGGAAATTGGCGGTTGGTAATTCAAGTATAGAGTGACTCAAAGACAGATATGTGTGGCTCCAATCGCAGGGACTTTCTGTGTTTTAGGGAAGTTGTGTTGGTGGCACATTAGATATTTTTAATATGTACAAAGTTGTGTATCTTGATTCACTTTTATTCTTTATGACTGTGTATCTCTTTTTAAATGGCAAGGACCTCTCTTTCCTGTCATTGATCCTTTTGAAACAATTCTGCTTCCTAGGCTACTCGATTCTTTTGTTACAGATTTTTATTGACATTCAAGAATTAAATCTGAGGCCATGGAATTGAACCCCAGGAAAGTAGAAGGCTGAGTATCTGAAAATCATAACTGTGGAAACAGATAACATATCCATTGTAAAAATGTGCTTCTGAAGCTGACTTGTACTTTTTAGTACCATCAGTGACACTTAGATCTCAAAACGGTAGTGAAATACTTGCTTAGGGCCTAACTTTGATGTCATCTTGAACATGTGCTGACAAGTGTCTCGGTATTAATGTCCATTTCACACATAGGAGACAAAAAACTTCTAGATTGGCTTTGATGTTGAAATAATAAAATGTAAGTAGCATGGAAAAAAAAAAAGGAGAACAGTCTTGAATTTAAAGATGAACTCATCGGACTAAAGGATGAGCAAGGACTGAAAGGATAGAAGGGTGTTGCTAATAATGTAAGAAAGATGGATTTCAATGTTTAACGGGGATCGATGAATAAAGGACATCGTTTTTTTTTTTAATTTAACTACTCAGGTTTTATATTGTGTTATTTGCTATTTTGGTAAATGAACCAATGACTGTGTCTGTCTCCAGCAAGTGGTATGCTGTTTCTGTATAATTTTAGGTGCATGGATGATAAAGTAGACCTTTGCTTATTTTGTAAAAGAACTAGAAGCCTACTGGCCAACTATGTCATCTAGAAACAATAGACCCAACCACCAGCACTAAATATTGGCACTGCCACTGGGTTTGTCATTTACCTACCTCAAGAATATTGACAGTGAAATAAAATTTTACCAGAAAAGGTCCCACGAGTGAAAATTCCAGAAAATCTGCTTTGACCCATCCTAGAATAGAAGGAAATGGTCAGGTTTCTCTGAGACCCAGCTTTGATCAGTTAACAAACAGCAAAGGGAAAAAGTGTCTATGCCTGAGTGATATGACATTCTGATTTGAGCTGAAAATATAATTCTTACCTCCTGGAGCCTTGTAGGTGATGGCTAGATGTTGTAACACTAGCATAACGGCTGCATTACTGATGGCTGGGCTTGATAACTGCCAAATGGCTCACACACAGAGTTCAGCAAGCCTTCCTTGGCCAGCCCTCTCCCACTTCATGGAAGCTAAGAGTATGATATGATGGGAACCACTGATCTGCCTTATTCGTTCTCTACCAGATCTTGCACAGCAGAGGGATGCATAGTGATATCGACGGCTTCTCAAGAATTTCTAGCTCAGTACATGACCAAGAAAACACAGAAGACCTCAGGCGAAATTTGCGTCATACTGATGGATCTGTAGGTTAACTACACAATGCACATGTGAACGGTGGCAGATCCCTTGGTTTCATATGCCAGTGTCTTACTTAGGGCTACTATTGCTGGATGAAACACCATGACCAAAAGCAACTTGGGGAGGAAAGTTTTGCAGTTCATAGGACGTAAGCCAGGGCAGGAACATTGGTAGGAGCTGATGAAGATATGGAAGCGTGTTACTTACTCGATTGCTCCCCATGGCATTCTCAACCTGTTTTCTTATAGAACCGGGACTGCCATCCCAGGGCTGGCACCACTAACAATGGGCTGGACTCTTCCCCCATGAATCATTATTTAAGAAAATACCTTTCAGGCTTACTTAATAGACTGATCTTTTGAAGGCATTTTCTCATTGAGTCTCCCTTCTCTCAAATGACTCTAGCTTGTGTCCATATTGATATAAAACTAACCAGCACACCCAGGAAGGCAAAGGGAAGTATCTGTGGAGAGCTGGTTCAAGAGCACCCTGTAGATAGAAATCAAACATTGCAGATGCTGAAGTCCTTAATAGAAATCATATAGGATTTGTATCTATCTACCCTGCCTGTGTATATCTTCCTATATTTACATGCCTCAAGGTTACTTACAACACATGTACAATGTATCTGCTGATCTGGAAACAGAGCAAATGTTTTATTTATGGAATAATCCCAGGGCAGGGGGAACGTATCTGTGTGTTCAATACAAACACTTTCTTTTATGTTTACTGGTGTATATGTGTGTGGGCATGCCTGTGGAGGTAAAGGACAACTTGCAGGAGTTGGTACTGTCCTTCCTCCTGGTGGGTTCTGGGGATTGAACTTATGTATCAAATACCTGTAGCAGCAGGTACCTTTACTTGCTGAGCTAGCTATGTTGCTGGCTCCTACAAACACATTTATTTTTAAAAACATATTTTTCAATCCACAAATGCGAACCCACAGACATGGAAGGCCAAACTAATACTGAAGCAGGGAATCTTTACTGCCATTTTCCACCCCCCCCCCAGAATCATCTGAAGACCATTGCCTCATTAGTCTTTGCCTGGGAAGTATGTATGTATTTCCATGTGAGTTGAAATGTCACAACTAGTGGGTTATTTCCTGATGCATGCATGTAGGTTCTCTTTTTGTCTGAGTAGCAGGCTAATTTCTGATGTGACTAGGCTCTCTCTCCCTTTGCATGACTTTTGGCAAGAAGGGCTGGAACTAGGAAGAATTTGAACAAGCTTAGGGTAGATAGATACCTCTGAGCTGAGTTTGGGATCTTATGTGTCTTTGTTTTCTAAGTTTCATGGTTTATTTTGGGGTTTTTTGTTTTGTTTTTGTTTTTGTTCTTTTAGATACAAAGTCTGACTTTGTAAGCCCAGCCTGGTCTCAAAATTATGATCTTCCTGCCTCAGCCTCTCAAGTGCTAGGACTATAAGTGTATTCTCCTCCTATATGTGTTCTAACTTTCTTCTTTTAAATGATGTTCTTTTAGATTTGGTGAAAGAATGAAATGTGTTAGAACCGACTTCATTAGTTGTGTGCTGATGGATTTTCTGCAAAAAGCATGAGATATATAGTAAGTGAATGATAGCCAATATTGGCAATTAAGATTTATGATATGGCTTTCATGTGCCAGGCACATTCACTCAATCCCTCTCCCCTCTCCCCTGCCCCGCCAAAATCTTCATTACTTTGCAAATGAGGAAACTAGGGCAAGAGAAATTAAAGCTTTCTTGATGTCACACTTTCATATCACAGCTACAATATCAGTGCATCCTTGGCTATGTTTAATTGCAGCATGGCTAAAAGCAATAGTAAGCGAATCATTGGCTCAGAGAAAAGGTTTTATGCCTCTGAAAACAGTTTTCAAATAGTGACATTTTAGACCAAATTTAAATCACTACAGGTCTGATTCTATTCTCCAAGATCTGGGTCTAATTTTATACAAAGGTATTTTCATCGTGGGTTCTGATTTGAAGGCATCATGTAGCTCAGATTTCTGTCTCTTGTGATGCCTCAGCTCAAGGTGCTCACAATTAAGGATGGTTTGAACATGGGCTCCTGAGGTGAGGCACCCCTCCCCGAGACTGCAAGAGAGCATTTGGTGAAGGCACGGAACTCTGCCTGCACCAAGACAGCCCCCCATCGTGTGCCAAGGAGTAGTATAGCATCAGTTCAAAGCATCGACCTTATTTCCAGATTTGGAGGCTGAAAAAATTTGACAAGTAAGATTTAAAACATACCCATGTGTTTTTCTGATTATTAGAACTTGCATATACAGCTCAATTTGTTTAAACTGAAAAACCTGTGTGAGAAACGTCAGTGATGCAGAAATTCCTCTTTTTGTGTCTATAACATAGTATCTCATTCGGGATTTTCTGGAATGCCTCCCACCTCTCCCCCAACGCCCCATCATGTGCATGTACATGTACATGTGAGACAAAAGCCTACAAAGTGCAGACTTCTGATGGATCCCTGCCACAGGTGGATTAAAATAGTAGTTTTTGTAGCCTGAACCTGTCAAGTTTGATTCCCCCCCCCCACCTTGGAGAGTTTTAAATGCTCCTTGAGATACTGAATGTGAGTATATGAGCTCAGATATAATTTAACAAACCCACCTTGACATACAGATAAAGATCAATGTATCTGTTCATAGGCTGAGGTGGTTTTAGTGGGAGTTAACTGTTGCTCAATCACTAGGAAATTAAAATATTCTAATGAAACAGCAAGTTAATGGGAATACTGGTGTTTAAATACATTGTCAGCCTTGGATTTTCATGCTTGCATTTTCTAATTCAGCTGGACTTAGTGTTTGGCTTGATATAAATTACTCACCTGCACAGATCCCTCAAATGACTTAAACTTACAGCACTTTTAGAAATGTTATCTGACAGGAAAAAAAAAAAAAAAGATCCTAGCTCTGAAACTGTTTCATTTTCTGTAATTCAAGTAAAGATCTCAAAACTATATATAAAGATTATCCATCAGGCTCCGGGGCGGGAAGGATGGCCCAGAGGTTAACAAACATACTGCTTTTGCAGAGAACCCGAGTTCGGCTCCTAGCTCACCGTGGCCGGTAACTCCAGCTCCAGGGTAGCTAACATCTCTGGCTTCCACATGTGCCAGCACTGAAGTGTATATACCCACATTAAAGTATGCACATCGATTTTAAAATCATAAAAATAAATCTTAAAAAACAAAAAACCTAGTGTGGTGAGGTAGTGTATGTCTACAATTCACCCCAGAATTTTTGCAAGTGGAGGTAGAGGCAGGAAGATCAGGGGTTCGGGGTCATCCTCAGGCACATACTGCCTGGACTATAAGTCTTTGCTTCTGGTTTTTGTTTTGTTTTTTAAAAAGGAAACCCTGAGTCAACTTTTTGTTTCCAAAATGATACAACAGGAAAATTTATGTGTATAATATCCCATTACCATCACCACCAAGCGTTAAACATTTGTGTCTCTTTTACTATGGTGTCCTTAGGGACACTTACGTATGGTCCAGAACCAGAGGGTCCTGTAACAGGCTTTCTTTTGGGCCACCAACCAGCTCCCAAATCATGACACAGGCACTAGTTATGAATGCTTGGCCATAGTTTATGCTTTTCCCACTAGCTCCTATAACTTAAATTAACCAACCTGTTTCTCTTCATCTCTCTCTCTCTCTCTCTCTCTCTCTCTCTCTCTCTCTCTCTCTCTGTGTGTGTGTGTGTGTGTGTGTGTGTGTGTGTGTGTGTGGCTGGCTGGTGGCTACCTGGGTGGCCTCAGGCATCTTCCTTTCCTTTCTCCCCATCCCCCTCTCTCCTTTTCTCCTATGTATTCTCTCTGCCCTCCAGCTGGACCTATCCCTCTACTGCCTAGCTTTTGGCCATTCAGCTTTTTATTAGGCCAGTCAGGTGCCTTAGGCAGGCAAAGCAACACATCTCTACACGTTACATTAATAAACAAACGCAGCATAAACAAATGTAACATATCTTCTTTAAGTAGTTAAACAAACGCAGCATAAACAAATGAAACACAGCTTTGCCTAGTTAAAGTAATATTGCACAACAGGGACCTTTTTGCCTCAGGGAAATACCTGAAAGGACAACACAATGTAAGGACCTTTATCTGTCTTTTCCCAAGAAGCATTTTCCACCTAGTGATGAGTTTGAGCTCCTGGTGAGGGCCATACCACAGTCTACAGAGCACTGAGAGAGGATGTGGACAAGCCAGGTAGCAGTCCCAGCTAAGATGAAAACATCTGTGCTTGGGACAATACTCTGCACATGCAGAGAACTGGACTCTTCACCAATGTTCCATGGATCTTTGTAAGATCTGGCAGCCACCCCAGTGGCTGAGGGAATTCTGCCTTCTCTACTCACTGCTGCATAGTTCTGATTTTGACTTGTGAAAATAAAGTGACTGATCAAGCACTTACAGTTTAATCTTAACACAGGGGAAAAA